ATGCGATGGCGGGCCTGCTTTCCTACGCCCACAGCGCGACGAGGTACAGCAACGAAGAAGGGAGGAAGGAGACGCCCATGTCCAAGTTTCCGGTGGAGAAATGGAAGACGGCGAGCAGGCGCGGGGGCGACGCGCTGGCCGAACGACCCGCGAATGCAGGTTTTCGGCCTGCCAGCATGGGTGCGATGCCATCCGTCCCAGGGCTTAGTCCACACAGCGGCACCTTCATTTGCATCTCGCAGACTCGATCAAGACAAAGCCACGCGAGGCGTTGTTGCATTGACACTTCAGTCCGTAGCGCGGAATCAATCCGCATGTTGAGCATACGAATATGTAGTGTGTGTCTGCGTCACTGCCGTAAAGCGTTGTTTGCAGTTGGCGCCCCGGTGAAATGCAGGGCGCGCGTAGAAGGGCGGCACGCGTGTCTTGCGCCGAAGATCGTTTCACGAGATGAGCGGTTCGAAGGAACGATAGATTCGATTGGGGCACCAAAATGGAACGGTCTTTGACATTGTCCTGCCCGCCGCCATCGGGGTTCCCCATTGATCCCCCGTGCCCGCGGCAAGCGTGATCATTGCGACCCAATGTGACATGTTTTGCGAAACCGCACGGCAAAACCATCCGGTTGTCCCAACTCATCAACTTGTCCCTTCGCCACCGTCTTCATGTGATTGTCATCTGCGTTCCTTTGACTGCCTCCTCGTTCGCCCTCTGACTTCCTCATCTAAGGCACGTCGTCATGTTTTTGTGGTGTCTCTCTCTCTCTCTCTCTATCTCTCCCGCTCTCTCTCTCTCTCTCTTTCTCTCTCTCTCTCTCTCTTTCTCTCTCTCTCTCTATGTGTATATATATATATATCCATGTCTTTCTATACATGTATATATACATATGTATATATATATAAATATATGAGCACATACATATACACATATACGTACAGGCATACAGAGACTAACAGACATACATACATACGTGCATGCGTACATACCCGACTGCATTCCCACGCGTACGTGTTTATCTCATGTTTTTTGGGGGGCGCGTTCGGCACGCGTGGCCACGTGGGCGATTTGTCGTTGGAGGTTGTGCCGCGGTGCACCATACTGCGAAACAGGCGTCGGCCTTTCCGCCTCTTCCTCCTCTCCCTCCTCCTCATATTCATCTTCCTCCTCTTCCACCACCTCTTGCTCCTCCTCCGCTTCCTCCTCCTCCTCATCCTCCTCCTTTTCCTCCTTTGTTTCCTCCTCCTCCTCTTCCTCCTCCTCTTCCTATTCCTGATATTATTCCTCCTCCCCCCTCCTCCTCCTCCTCTTCCTCCTCCTCCGCCTCCTCCTCCACCTCCTTCCCCTCCGCCTCCTCCTCCTCCTTGTCCTCCTCCTCCTCCTCCTCCTCTCCTCCTCGTCCTCCCCCCATCCTCCTCCCCTCCTCCTCTTCCTCATCATCATCATATCATCATCATCATCACGAGCATCATCATTTGTACCTCTTACAGCTCAGTCGGTACTGCCACCTTCCGAGCTCGCGCCTACTCACGCAGCCCAGGTCCAGCGCGTCGCTCGCGCGGGCGAACGACCGCGACATGCGTGCGGGGCGAGGTGGGGGCCACCCCCCCTCCACCGCCGCCGCTGCCGCGGTTGTTTCCCGCGCCGCCACCACATTGGCCCGCCTCTCCCATCGCCACCGCCAGTTCTACCAGATGGCCACACAGTGGCATTGTTTTGTTTTGCTCCTGGCGTTTTCATCATGCAGCGCCGCGTCCAGGCATTCTAGCTTTCCCGCCGCTTCCCCCTTTGCGCTTGTCCAGGTCCACAATCCGTCCTCGGCAAAGACCGTCGGCGCACTGGAACTTCCGCAGGTTGGCACGGCAGCTGCTCCGCTTTCGTCGCGCTCACTGTCGCCACCTCCTGGGGTCCTCGACCAGGAAAACTCATTGGGTTACACGGTCAAGGCTTTCAACGCACCAGTGTCATTTCAAGCAGTCGGCAGTGTTGCGCGTCGCCGTGTGACCCGCTGGGCGCGTTATTCGCCTTTGCATACTGCTTGCGAGGCATCAGCCAGCGCGTTCAGGGTGTCTGCTTCAGTCCCCGCGCCTGCCACCGAGGGGCGCCCCGGTCGCATTCTCCGTCGCCCCCTCGGACAGCCGAAGAGCATTCTGCTTCGCGCATTCAAAAGTAGCGTTGGGAATCAAGACGCCCAGCCCGCCAGTAGTGCATCCAGCCAGTTGCGTTCAGCTGCTAGTCGAGTGTCAGATGCATAGGGCCGTGGACAGTTTCGTTTAGATGCCGACCCCTCGCCGGCATCCATGGGACGCCCCAGTTCGCGTTCACGCCCGTGTGTTCCATGAGCAAGGATGACAGGCATCGTCGCGCCCAGGCAGTTATTCGGTCGCTGTTCCCGCCACGGGCCCACTAGCTGCCACTGAGCCACGACGACAATGTGCGGGCGCATCGGGGACAGCGAGAACTTTACGCCACAGCGGTGGTAGGCTCGCTGAGATCCTCCGCGCGGGTTGCTGGCGCTCGGGCGCGCTCTTCGAGTAGATGAATCGAGAAAAGCTCGAGGGCGACGCCATGCTGGAGGCGCTGCAGGCAGACCAAGCACTTGCGCGCGGGCCGGGATAGCTTTCCCACCATATTGCAAATTCGCATTCGAGAACGGCTGGGCGGACATGCGCGAGCGCTGCACACGTCGGAGCACGGGCGGCCTCAACTTGCCTTCCCGCGATGCTTGGGCACCACAGGGAATGCCAAGCCTCCTCAAAAAGGACCTGGGCCAGCCTAGACCTGACGACTCTGCGTCGGTTCGTCCGCCCACTTGCCGGGCGCGCGCAAGTCTGAGGAGAGGCTTGGTGGCTCGTGCCAGTTGCGGGGGGGCCCACTAACTTTCAGTGCCTCTCAGGACGCATTTTCCTGAAACCCGCCCAAACCCTTATATCCATCTATCGAGTAAGGGGATCGACTACAGAATTGATTCGCCCTGGAATCATTTTTTCCTCTCGAGTTCACGAAACTGTCGTGGATTCGGCTGGAAAAATCCATGCGGGGATAAAGCAATCCGCGGTCGACCCCGTACTCGAAGCCAGGGCCTTTCAGCCTGTTCCCTCCCCTCGCGGGTCTCCCCCTTCGCTCTCGTGCTGGGTTTGCCGCCTAGTCTCGTGACTTGCCTTCTCTGCGCTTTTCAGGTGCGCCTGCGTCGCCAGACCGCGCTCTGTCGCAGCCTCGCTTCGGAGTGCGCACCATGTTCATATTTTCGGCGGCGAGCGAGGGGGGGAAGTGAGAAGGATAAGGCCTTCTCAGAAGGCGGCTGGACTTCCCAGAAGCCCTCGCGCCTTCTGAGAAGTTTGCTGTGTCTCCGGGGAAGGCTTGGCAAGCTTCTGAGGAGGCCCAGGGACAGCCGAGCCTTCTGAGAAGGCCCGCCCCTTCTCACGTCCCCCCTTCGCGCGACGCCTACATTTGAAATTGCTGAATGATGCGCCGCGTCGCATATGCTGCAGTCGCTGATTCAGCGTTCGTGCCTGTGTCAACATCGCTGGTCATAGGCAGTGGTGCAAGAGTCCCCCCAAGCTCGTTGGCAGGAGAGTTTGCCAGCGCGGGGCCTGATCCTGACACGGAAGAAGGGATCCTTCGTGCGCTGGAGGCGGCGTCCGCTTGTCAGGACGCTGGCCCCGACCCCCCCCCCCTTTCCGCCGGTTCGGCTGGCGCCCGAGCTCGTGGTGGAGATTGAAGCGTGCCGCGCCACCGCCCACCACAGGAGGGCGTCCTGACGGGGGCAATCTCCTCTTGCTTTCAGGAGTGATAGGGGCCATTTTTTTATGTTGCCGGTTGTCGATGAGCCGTGCCGAGTTCCGAGTTTCGAGCTAGTGTTCCTCCTATTCCTCCCTTTCCTCCTCCTCCTCCTCCTCCTCCTCCTCCTCCTCCTCCTCCTCCTCCTCCTCCTCCTCCTCCTCCTCCTCCTCCCCCTCTTCCTCTTTTCCTCCATTTCTCCATTCCTTTTCCTTATAGAGTATTTTTTCCTTGTCGCACCCCGAGGCCTGTTTTTAGGGCGGGCGGGGCGTTTCGACGAAGACTTCTTCACAATTTATGATTCTGAAGCTTAGAAATTGGCAGCATATTCACATATGGAAGGCGGGTGGTTTTCGAAGTGCGGTTATTTCCTCACCACGGCGCACATTCGTTTTTAACATTTTCAAGATTTTCACGGATTGGGGGCGGGTGGTTATCCAAATGTGGACATCGCTTTAGCGCGGTATACATCCGTTCTAAACGTTCGCAAGAGCTTCACGGGTTGAGGGTGGGTGGATTGCTTATCTCTTTAGTGCGGCGCATATTTGCTTTAAACATTTGCAAGAGCTTCACGGATTGAGGGCGGGTGGTTGTCAAAATGTAGCTCTCTCTTTAGCGCGGCGTACATTCGTTTTAGACATTTGCAAGAGCTTCACGGCTTGAGGGTGGGTGGTTTTCAAAATGTGGTTCTCGCCATAGCGCGGCGCACAACCGCTTAAACATTTGCAAGAGTTTCACGGGTTGAAGGCGGGTGGTTTTCAAAATGTGGCTCTCGCCTTAGCACCGCGCGCATTCGTTTATACACTTCCCAACAAAAGTTTCACGGAATCCCATCATCGACGTACTAAAAATTGCGTTTTGGAAGCATTCAGGATTATGCGGGTGCAACAGGTACGTTGATATTTTGTGTTGGAATGGCGTTCTGGCACGCTTCAAGACCGTCAAGACGCAACAGTCAGGTTGATCCGTGGCGTTGGAATCCCGAGAACAGCATTTTGGTATGCTTCAGGGTCTTCAAACGGTTGCCCTCCAACGAGGCAGTTTTCCGTCAATGAAAATGAACCGTTGTAGGGGCCTATGAAGAGGGAACTTAGAGGGAGGGTTTACTCCAAGCTCCTGGGTTTACACTGATCCTCCTCCTCCTCCTCCTCCTCCTCCTCCTCCTCCTCCTCCTCCTCCTCCTCCTCCTCCCCTGTGGGGTTCATCCCCCCACGGCTGCGCAGGTGGAGCGGGCCGAGCCCGCGCCCGGCTCTGCATGAGCCACCGCGGGCGGGACCGCGCGCCTCCTCGGCCGACGCGGCGCGCTCGCGTCACCTTGGGCCCCAGGGCTTTCGGAGGCTTCCAGCGCCCCCAGGAGGGCCTTCGGAGGCCGTCGGCTGCCCTGCGAGGGCCACTTCGCCCCGAGTGCGCAGAGGTGCTCGCGCTTCGCTCGTGAGGGTCTGGGTGGGGGAGAGTGGCCCCACCTCATGGCGATGGGCGGCGCGATGGCGCGATGATCACCGCGCGTCACGCACCGCGGGGCGCGATGCGCGAAGTCAGGCCCCTTTTCGGACGGGTAGCTTTCCTCCTCCTCCTCCTCGTCTCCTCCTCCTCCTCTCCTCCTCCTCCTCCCCCTCCTCCTCCTCCTCCTTCCTCCTCTCCTCCCTCCCTCTCCTCCCTCCTCCTCCTCCTCCTCTCCTCCTTCCATCATCCTCCTCCTCCTCCTCCTCCTCTTCCTCCTCCTCCTCCTCCTCCTCCTCCTTCCTCCTCCCTTCTCCTCGACCCAAGGGAGCTTTTCGGAGGTCCCTTGGAGGCCTCCGAAGCCTGCGGGGGCCCTCGGAGGCCTTTGTGGAGGCTGCCTGCGCTCCCCGATCGCGCCTCGGGGCCCCGCGGCCGCCGGCGACGCGCGCGGTGGCAACGGCGGGGCCGCCGCAGAAACCGCGCCTGGTTCGGCACCGGGTTGGCTCGCGGCCTGCCGGTGGTGCCTGCCGCCGCCGTGGGCTCCGCCGCCGTGGGTCGCCGCCGCCGCGGTCGCTCCTCCTCCTCCTCCTCCTCCTCCTCCTCCTCCTCCTCCTCCTCCTCCTCCTCCTCCTCCTCCTCCTCCTCCCTCCTCCTCCTCCTCCACAATTACACAATATGAAAATACTCTCCCACTCGAGTCCGACCGAAGCATAAGATCGAGGTCGGTTCGGGGAGGGTACCCTGGTGCTTCTTCGTGCTTGTCGCATGCCCTTGTGCATCCTGGGGAAGGGCACCCGCCGTGATCTTCTGGTCAGGGATCTTCTGGCCGGCGGAGGGCCTCAATGCTCTTGAAGGATGCTCTTCTTCAAAGAAAAAACGCTATAAACATACAGTGGCGCTGTAAACTTTGGACGCTCCGCGCGGATTTCTTGGATCTGCGCTGGGCCCCCTAGGCGGCGCCTCCGGCGCCGTCCCTGTCGCGCTCCGCGCGCCAGGGAGGGGGGTCCAGCGCAGGTGCAAGAGCTCCGCGCGGAGCGCCAGAAGCGTGTCTTTGTGCCGTTGTCTTCGTTCCTCTGCTCCTGTCCCTGGCCCGGCCGCGCCGTCGGCGGCGGCGGCGGCACGAGCGAGGCCGCCACCGCGGTGCCCTCCCGAGAGCACTTTTTTTTTGTGGACACTCTCGGCGCGGGCGCACGGCGCGGGCAGGCGCACGGCAGGGGATGTTCACCCGATGGCCCGATCCCCCGCCACAGAGCATGTCTTTCCAGTGTGCTTGCTCCGTGGCGGCGCCGCCCCGCACGCACTGCAAAAATATGCACCCCCCCAGCATGAAGATCAGGAGGGGAACAAAACACACAGACACAACTCATCGTCGACTCCCAGGAAGACATGGGAAGATATGGGAAGATGTGGGGGGGGGAAGGCCAAGACCCAGAAGATGGGGGGAAAATCTGGGGAATCCTGCTATGTGTGTGCACTTGCTCGCGTGTCCCAGGGCCCCATTCAGAAGAGCACACTCGCCTCCACGTCTCGCCGCCCTCCCCGGGAGCCCATTTTTGCGGCCGCTGTCCTCGGCGCGCGGCGGCCGGGGCGCCCCCGGGGCACGCCGCGGCGCGGCGCGGCGCGGCGGGGCCCGGCGAAGTATGCCGATCTTCGAGAACAGCAGCAGCGAGGGGCGCAGCAGGCGCGCCCCCGCCCCCCGTCGCCGCGCCGCGGGCGTCGCCGTCGGCCGCCGCCGCCGCCGCCGTGGTCGCCGCCGCCGTGGGTCGCCGCCGCCGCGGTCGCTCCTCCTCCTCCTCCCTCCTCCTCGTCCTCCTCCTCCTCCTCCTCCTCCTCCTCCTCCTCCTCCTCCTCCTCCTCCTCCTCCTCCTCCTCCTCCTCTAGGCCGTTTTGGGCCCTGGTTGGGCTTCCGCGGACCTCCAGGAGCACGGCGCTCGAGCCAGGCGGGAGAGAGAGAGAGAGAGAGGAAGAGGGAGAAGAGAGAGGAGGGGAGACAGAGCGAAAGAGAGAGAGAGAGAGAGATTGTCAGGCGAGAGAGAGAGAGAGAGAGAGGAAGAGGGAGAAGAGAGGAGGGGAGACAGAGCGAAAGAGAGAGAGAGAGAGATTAGCATGGAAACGGACAGGCAGGGAGACGGACCGAAGAGCTGGGAACCTCCTCCGGTGGTGCGGAACCCGCGCCTGTCGAAGACCTCTTTCGCGTGTCGGCGGCCCGGGCGCCCAGGTGGAGCGGGTAGGGTTAAGTCGGGCCTGTCCCCCTACAGGGGGATTTCGACGAAAAACAAAACATACCCCCAAAATAGTCAAAACAAATAGTAAAAAATAGTCTGGGGACTATTTGTTTGAGCATTGTTAGACAGTTTTTTGGGTTATTTGGGGGGTACTTTTTATTTTTCGTAGAAAATCCCCCTGTAGGGGGACAGGCCCGACATAAGGGTAGGGGGAATGAGGAGAACAGTTCTGATTGCCAGCTTCATTATTCATTCCACAGCTGATTGCCAGCTCCATCAATGTTGCTCGTCCGTCCCTGTCTGATACATCTCGTAGACAGGAGGCTAAACTACTGAGGTTGAGGGCACTGTGATAACATGACTGCGTCAGCCCTTACACACGCAAGCCCACACTTGACATGAATATATGTGGAGCTCTGAACGTATCGCAACTCGAGTTATCTCCAAAAGGCCACCCTGCGGCCTTGAAATCAGAGATACGTCGGAAAACATGCGTCCTCTCCTCGGGGACCTCCTCGACGCGATGCCCAAGCAGCCTCGAAGATGAGGGCAGGCCTTCTGGCTTGACGCGATGATGGCTCTTCGTCAGCGGGCCTCAACCTGCTGTTGCTTGCGTGGGCCGAGGGGTTCCACTGGGCGTCGGAGTGCGGAGAGCAGTCGCCCTCTTCTGCTGTCGAACGCTCCGCCGGGCCGCCAGAGCTGTTGCTCGGAGGGCGGCGTCGACGGGGCGGCACAGGCCTCTCCGAGTGGATGCCTGGCGGGACCTGTGGCTTTGCTGGGGCGCTTGGCATCGCTGGGACGTGTGCATTTTTCCTTCGGCGAGGACCATCGAGGAGCATCCTTGATCATTTGGCGAAACATCCACGCACGAAACCGAAAAAAACACAGGGAATGGACGTCCGAGCGATGGCGAGGGCGAGCCATGGGTGCAACTGACGTCAGCGGCGGGCTGGAAAGCCCGAGCTCGCCCCACTGGGCATCTGCTCGGCCTGGCCCGCCCGACGCGGCCGAACGCGCGGTTCGATGGCGGGCGTCTGCGCCGCGCGCCGGCGCTCTTTCCAAGTGTGGCCTCTGTATTGCTCTCTCCCGCGGCCCAGCCATTGTTTCCAACGGCTGCCTCGCTGCCCCGAATGGTTGTTCCCTCCGATGGCCTCGGGCAGATGCGATGTTACCCAGTCGGCGAGGGTACTTTTTAAGTTCCTCCTTCCGGCTTCCCTGCGCTTCGCGCAGCCAGCGTAACCGCTCCGACCGACAGCAGCAGCAGCAATACGCATGGTTCGTGCCTCCTCCGCTCTGGCCGCCTACCACCGCTGAAGGTGGGTGTGGCCCATATCATTATTATGATTAGTATTATTAGTATTATTATCATCATTAGTAGCATTCGTATTATTATTATTAGTATTATCATTACTTTTATTATCAGGATTATTATTACTGTGATTAACATTAATATTAGTAGTATTATTATTATTATTATTAGTAGTAGTAGTCGTAGTCGTAGTCGTAGTCGTAGTCGTAGTCGTAGTCGTAGTCGTAGTCGTAGTCGTAGTCGTAGTCGTAGTCGTAGTCGTAGTAGTAGTAGTAGTCGTAGTAGTAGTAGTAGTAGTAGTAGTAGTAGTAGTAGTAGTAGTAGTAGTAGTAGTAGTAGTAGTAGTTCGTAGTCGTAGTCGTAGTCGTAGTCGTAGTCGTAGTAGTAGTAGTCGTAGTAGTAGTAGTAGTAGTAGTAGTAGTAGTAGTAGTAGTAGTAGTAGTAGTAGTAGTAGTAGTAGTAGTAGTAGTAGTAGTAGCAGTAGCAGTAGCAGTAGAAGTAGGAGTAGGAGTAGTAGTAGTAGTAGTAGTAGTAGTAGTAGTAGTAGTAGTAGTAGTAGTAGTAGTAGTAGTAGTAGTAGTAGTAGTAGTAGTAGTAGTAGGAGTAGTAGTAGTAGTAGTAGTAGTAGTAGTAGTAGTAGTAGTAGTAGTAGTAGTAGTAGTAGTAGTAGTACTAGTAGTAGTAGTAGTAGTAGTAGTAGTAGTCGTCCTCCTCTTCCTCCTCCTCCTCCTCTTCCTCCTCCTCCTCCTTTTCCTCCTCCAGGACACTGGTCGGGCTGGTTGCTGCGTATCTTTGTGGATGTCTTTTGGGGGGGGGAGAGAGCGCCCGCGGATGCCCCTCGAATTGAACAGGGTGGACCCTCTGTGTGTTCAGGCCTAGGGCGTTAGGCCTCGGCGCGAGAATTGCATGCCTAGGGCCGAAGGCTTATAGGGCTTAGGGCTTACAACTTAGAGCTTAGGGCTGAGGACTTAGGGCTTAGGGTTTATGGCCTAGGGCTTAGGGCTTAGGGCCCAGGGCTTCGAGCTTCGGGCTTAGGGCGTAGGGCTTGGGGCTTACGGTTTACGGCTTACGAATCAAGGCTTAGGACTTCGGAGTTTCGGGTTTAAGGGTTAGAGTTCAGGGCTTCGAGTTCAGGGCCTAGAGCTCAGGGCTTAGGGTTTAGGGTGCTAGGCTTGTGGTGTTAGGGTTTAGGGCTTGGCGCTTAGGGGCTAGGGCGGTAGGGTTAGGGCTTAGGGTTCAGGATTCGGAGCTTATGGTTCATGGCTTACGGCTGAGGGTCAGAGCT